GTGTCAAGAAGAGCAAGCTAGGCAGCTGAGGACAGATCTGTGCAGTCTCCCTCACCTGCCTCTGCAGACTTGCAAATGAGATCCCAGGGCCACCATCAGCCAGCTGGCCCTGCCTGGATAATTACCTCAGGGAACGCCACACCTGACAGGTGTCCCTAAGGGCCTCAGAGCACAGACTGCTCCACCTCAGGCTAGCTACTTCTCTCTGCTCTGGACCTGTGCATCCAGCCCTTGGCTAGTCCTCTCTCGGCAGATTCTGTCCCCCAAACATGTGGCACACTGTCAGCGCTCATACGGCACCTTCCTAGCCAGTAAGGTTGTCTGAGCCTGGCATTCTGCCCGGGCCTAACCCCTCCTGTTGTAGGCCCCTTGCCTTTCCCTCTGACGGGTACACTCACCTGCTCACCCGCCTCCAGCGTCTTCCTGGGCTGGTAGCTGCAGGGTCCTCCCAAGGTGGTGCCAAGTGCTACTATGTTCAGTTCACTTCTGTTTTCAGTTCTGGTTGTTTTTCTGCAGGCTCCTGGTGGCTTTTGTCATTTAATAGATGTAGGTGATTATGTAAGTAAGAAGGGAGAACTACGGACTTGGATCACTGTGACAGTCTTGGGGCCTACCAGGACCTGGGCTGAATCATACTATTTGTGTGACCTTGGGCAATGGCTTCTCTGTGCCACCAATACTTGAGTGTGAGTGTCACAGCCTCTGAAGTTCTGGTGTGAGGTAGTGGCTTTGTCTCCTGCTTCTGAGACAAGCACAGACAAGGGCATGATTTGGGGATCTGCATGGACCTACCTGGCAGGCAGGTATCTGACCATGCCACTGTAGTGATGTTTCATTTGTATTTTAATAACTAAAACTTGCCAGAAGATCAGAGAGTAAAACAGCCCCACTGGTCAGCCTTACAGACCAGGCAGTGGTGGCACACACCGTTAATCCCAGTAGCCACACTAGATCCCATAGAAACTGCCTTTGATCCCAGCCTTAGAGAGAATTAATAAAACAGTAGGAGACAGCCCTCACTCTCAGTCTGAGATCCCAGGAGGCGGGATCGCCATTTCAGACTGAGGCCGAGGTAAGAGCCAGTGACTGGCTGCCTTACTCTTCGGGTCTTAAGGTTGAACCCCAGTTTCTCTCTCTGAGTTTTTATTAGTCATGCTACATGCCACATCTCATATAAACCAGCTGTCCTGCTAGAAGGGAACCTCAGTTAATAATGCTGCAGTATGGGCCTAGGGTTCACCAGATACAGCTCTCCACCATTTGTGCTTAGTAAATGGCCGCTGCCAGAATGTCTGGCATGATCAAGGACCTGTGTGCAGTTAGCACACGGCTCCTGGGTGCAGCTTCCTCCACAGGTGACATCCAGAGCCTTTCTAGGCTGATAAAGTGTGTGTGCTTGTCCCCATAGAGGTCAGATCAGAGTGTTGTTAGACTGGAGTCACAGGTACTGAATCTGGGTCCTCTGGGAGAGCATCCGGGGTTCTCAACCACTAGGCCATCTCTTCAGCCCCAAACAAGACTTTGTTTTTGTTTTTCAAGACAGGGTTTCTTTCAAGCAACAAACTTTTATTTCTCACATTCTGAAAGCCAGGAGCCCAAGAAGGTGTGGCCAGCTCCCTCTGGGGCCTCACCTTTGGCCTCACAGACTTTGTCCTCCCTTGTCACCACATGGTCCTCCCTCTGTGTGTGTGTGCCCTAATCTTAGGGATACCAGTCACACGGTTAGAGGGGACTTAATTCCCCCAGCATCCTAGGATGAAGGGCCTGTTGTGGGGTGTGCTCAGATCTGCAGGTGCCTAGGAGCTCTTACTCTAAAAGTTTCTGGTAACAAGCTGAAGCTCAGCCTATGTGGTAGCAGCAGCTTCCCCGTATGACCCTTCTTTTCCACATCCCCATGCCTAATGCGCAGGTTTTGTTGTCTTTACAGACAGGCGTTTTTGAGCTGCAAGTGCCTTGGACCATTTGACTGACCAGGGTACATCAGGTGCTCGTGACTGGATTTCCAAATCCAGTAGCGGACTCACTGATCAGGGAACTTGGGCATAATTGCATCACACATACTCACAAGTCAGAGAAACCTCTGGTGTTGTAAAAGAGCCCCCACCCGTAGCCCTGGGAGGACGGACAAGCAGCCTTACAGCCACAGCCCTGAAGGAAACTGTAGGCAGGTTCTGGGCTTGAGTCACTTGTTGGCATTCCTGCCCGGGACCTCTGGCTCAATACCAGCATGGGCTTTCCTCTCCAGGTTCCTAGATGGCCTTGGATGTCAGGCTCACCTCTTCTCTGTGTTTTTGGTATGCCTTTGTCTGTTGGCCTCCAACACCACTGGAAGCTTCTCAACTCTGAAGTCGTCACTTTGTGCCCATCAGGTGAGGGGAATTTGGAGCAAAGTGAAGTACAAGGACACCAGACATGGTGTGTGCATAGCAGCAGTTAGTACAAGGACACCAGACATATTTCTACATTCAAGACTCTGTTAGTGCATTTGACACATACCGCTAATCCTTAATGACCCGGGCGTCCTGCACCACGGTGAGATGGGTGGTGCCAGGGACTGGAGTCAGCTCAGTGGGAGAGCAACTTGCCTACCATGCATCAGACTCAGGATCCTCCATGCCACATGCAGTGTGCATACACACACATGCATGGACTTGCCATAGATGCTATGGCAAGAAGTGATCGAATCATAACATCTTTGTGACCCTGTGTCACAATGATTCATGCCCAGACAATAATCCTAGTATCTGACGGAGGTTATGTTGTTTAGGTGAATGGCTTTTGAAGGACTTGCTTTTCTCTGTAATCCCAACAGGGAGCAGTGGAGGCAGGGGGATTAGGAGTTCAAGGTCATTACTAGCTACCTATTGAGTTTGTAGCCAGTCTAGGCCACATGAAACCTTGTCTTTATATGGGGTTTTTGTTTTTGGTTTTTTTGAGACAGGGTTTCTCTGTGTACTGGCTGTCCTGGAACTAGCTCTTGTAGACCAGGCTTGCCTAAAACTCGCAGAGATCCGCCATCTGCCTCTGCCTCCCAAATGCTGGGGTTAAAGACGTGTGCGGCCACTACCTGGCAGAACCAGAATCTTTAAAATTAAACAGATAGCTAGGCGGTGGTTGTGCACGCCTTTAATCCCAGCATGCATGAGGCAGAAGCTGGCAGATCTCTGTGAGTTCAAGGCCAGCCTGGTCTACAAGAGCTAGTTCCAGGACAGGCCCCAAAAGCTACAGAGAAACTCTGTCCCAAAGAAAAAAAAAAATTAAACAGATAATAACAAAACAAAGAGAAAAGGTTTCATAAGACCAGGTTGGCCTCAAACTTGTCATCCTCCATACTACCACGCCAATTATTCCTTACTGTTTTCTTCATGAACACGTACCACTTGTCTGATAATAGGAGAATAAAAATGGAAATACAGCCCCCTTGGGTCTGGATACAAATCTCTCATTCTCCAAAGGCTGTGGCAGGGAGCCATGGTGTTTGGCCCAGCCCCCGCCTCAGCTTGAGGTTCCTTAAAGTCTCTGTCCTCTTGGGGTCCTGGCACAGACTTCCCAATGGCAGAGGCCTCAGAGCAGGCGTCATCTCAGAACCAAGGACCATAGCTTCCCTTCCTATGCTGTGACCTTGGCCTCCAGAAGCCTATCCTTGTAGCTTTGCTGTGACTTTGACTGACTGCATCCTATGATGTGGGATTCCCCTCTCTATGCTGTGAATGCTATTGGTTAATAAAGAAACTATCTTGAGCCTATAGCAGAGCAGGGCAGAATTTAGGCAACTAAACTGAATGCTGGGAGAAGGAAGGGCAGAGTCAGAGAAGCCATGGTGCTGCCACTGAAGACAGACGTGCTGGAACTGTGCTGGTAGGCCACAGCCTCGTGGTGATGCACAGATTAATGGAGATGGGTTAAATTAGGATGTAAGAGTTAGCCAATAAGAAGCTAGAGCTAATGGGCCAAGCAGTGATTTAATTTATACAGTTTCTGTGTGATTATTTCGGGTCTAAGCTAACTGGGTGGCCAGGAACCAACAAGCAGAATTTCCTCCAACAGTCCTATAAGACCATAGTCATTAGACCCTGGGACTAAGTACCTGACTCACGTGGTCTTGGCATAAGGGTGTGAGTCTGTGGGGCCTCGTTCCTCAGCCTGAGGAAGCCCTGTTCTGGCACACAGTGCTGGAAAACTGCCTCAGCTGGGGGGACCACAGGAGCCAGCCTGTCCTGTAGGGATCAGTGTTCCCAGGGCAATGGTATCACCTTCCACCAGTGACCATTACCAACCGGCCTTCCTGAGGGGCAACATGAAGCTAGAACCCAAAGTCCAGGAGGAAATTCTTAGTTGCAGATTTGGACAAGGTTGTTCTAGACCCCAGAGCAGCTACTTGGAGGGAAGGGTATGTGTCTCTGTGTGTGTGTCTGACTTGAATAGCACCACCAGCCTAAATAGAGGCTTACACTGTGCTCCTGGCATGGGAACAACCCCAAAGAGTTCACTCTTCTGTGCCCTCTGAGAGACGGAGCCTGTTGAACTACCTTGCACCAGATGCTTCCTCATAGGGGAGGTTGCAACCTTGTGGCAGGGACCCCCCCACCCCCCGCTCCTCCCCGTACTGCAGTCTTGGTTCACAGGTTCTCAAAACCTGCTAGTTTCACCACAGCCCTGCCCTGTGTACTCCACTGTTCAGTCGTTCAGTGACTTCCTGGAGTGTGGCCCTGGCCCTTCTGAGGTCATGGAGTCTGTGGCCCTGGCCCTTCTGAGGTCATGGAGTCTGTGGCCCTGGCCCTTCTGAGGTCATGGAGTCTGTGGCCCTGACCCTTCTGAGGTCATGGAGTCTGTGGCCCTGGCCCTTCTGAGGTCATGGAGTCTGTGGCCCTGACCCTTCTGAGGTCATGGAGTCTGTGGCCCTGGCCCTTCTGAGGTCATGGAGTCTGTGGCCCTGGCCCTTCTGAGGTCATGGAGTCTGTGGCCCTGGCCCTTCTGAGGTCCTGGTATCTTCCCTACAGGAGGCGAGTCACGTCTCAGCGCTGCTCCCTCGAGTTTCTGGAAGATGCAGTGGGATGTGCCTCGGTTCAGAGGTATACCCCCACCTGCCCCCACTTCAAGGCCCAGAGTTGCAACTGCCTCTGACCCCTGAGGCCACAAGGAGAGCAAGAACGACCTGCTTTTTACCTTACAGAACCAAGCATGCATCTGGGTCACCAAGACACAAAGGCCTGAAGAAAACGCACTTCATCAAGAACATGAGACAGTATGACACGAAGAACAGCAGGTAAGAGCATGCAGGCCTGGCCTGGGACCGCCACGGTGCTCCTACCCTGCAGGTCCAGCCGTGTGAGATCCGGGCCTGCCCGTGTTGGCAGCACCACCTTCGTTCATGGACTCCTACGTCGTCGTCCATGGCCACTCTCCTGACCCTTTAGAATTGGGCACTAACGTTCCTCTGTGTTAGCTGAACACTGGCTAGCATGGCCAGGCCAGCAAGCCACCCCTCTGCAATCCCATGGGAGAGCCTCCAACTGAGCTTGAGTCTTTGGGAAAAGAGAACTAGGAAGGCAAAAGTGGGTCCCACCCCAGATGTGCCCAGGATAAAAGGTGTGGTCATATTGGGGGGAGGGGACAAACACAGGATAGGCATGGTTGTACTCGGGAGCACATAGGAAGCAGTCACACTGAGGACACACACAAGAGATACAGTATATTGGGGGACATGTGGGAACTCCCCAGAACAGTGCTAGGCTGGGCCCTGGGCAGCTGCATCTGTCTGCAGTGGGGCAGGGGCAGCGCTTTGGGTCTGTCCCTTGGCACTGCACTGCCTTTCATGCTGACCTGCTCTGGGAACCCCCTTCCCTCTGTAGGTCACCCTGGGGAGGCTCTCCAGGGAATGTTGCTGCAGGGCCTAGCCAGGGTGGCTCCCTGCAGATCCTGAGCACCCAGGGCCTTGGGTCCTGAGCCCCTGGACGGCTGGGCTCTGTATTAGGTCTGGGTGATCTCTGGTGGCATCAGGCTTTGCCTTGTCTGGACCACTGAGGCTAATGCTGATGAACTTGGGCCTCACCTTCCTGTGCCCTATCTTTGTGCAAATGAGGCCTGCCCTTTCATGGAGGACCTGTGCTCCCAGGAAACATGAAGTCTGTGGCCCTGTGGTTACAGGGTCAGAGGAGATCTACCCAGCAGCACTGTGCCCGGGAACAGGAAGTTGCTTACTTACTTACTAAGCGACTCTAGAGGATCAGGCCCAAGTGCTAAGATGCCAGGCTTGGCTTCCTGAATCCCAGTACCCTCAGTGGCTCTGGCAGTTTCCCGTCACCCAAATGTAGGCAGGACAGAAGTGCTGACCCGCTCTGACCTGCGCCTCCCACAGGATTGTGCTCATCTGTGCCAAGCGGTCCCTGTGTGCAGCCTTTTCAGTCCTGCCCTATGGAGAGGGCCTGCGGATCAGGTAAGAGCCACGCTGTGTACACTGGTGAGCCCTGGTCCTGCTGGGTCCTTAAGACTCATGGGGCATTAGCGCACCATCTTCTACCACAGCCCAGGAACTTGCAGTTCAGGTTCTTATTCCCCAGGAGCCATAGGTTCTGGTGAAACTTTATGTAGGTTGGCTGAGATGTTCCTGTCCCTCCCTCAGATATGCTCCTAAAACTTTGTATCCAGCCTAGGCAGTTGTGTCCTGAGTGTAATTCAGGAAAGAGGTAACAGGTGCTGGGGCGGGGCGGTGTGTGTGTGTGTGTGTGTGTGTCCCCACAGAACAGTAAGCAGGCAGGGATGTGTGTGTGTGTGACCCCCACAGAACAGCAATAGGCGGACGGGACGGTGTATGTGTCCACAGAACAGCAGTAGGCACAGAGAAGCCTCCTGTCCAGAGTGGGAGGTAGCCAGTTCTCAGGATCCCAGGCTGGCTACTGGACTGTGTTGCTGCAGATAAAGGGTTAGACGCACCCAGGGAAGCAGACCTGAGCCTAAGTACAGGTGAGTGCTCAGGGATGTTCCAGAGTCGGGGATCCTTAGACCCCCGCCTGGGGCAGGAATGAGATACAGACTGCTTTCAGTTAAACCGTCACACACCTCCGAGGTGCTCTTGTGCGGGTGGATGAGCAGATGAGGCTGCCACATGGACCCCTCTCCTAATCATTACAGTGACCTGAGGGTGGACAGCCAGAAGCAGAGGCACCCATCCGGCGGCGTTTCTGTTTCTTCTGAGATGGTCTTTGAGTTGGAAGGCGTTGAACTGGGAGCGGATGGAAAGGCAAGAGCCCTGTGGCCAGCCAGTGGCCAGCAGAGTTAGGCAGACAGGTGCCTCACACACTGATCTAAGACACGGTATTAGGAACAAGCCACGCATCCTGTTATACCTATCACTAGCTGGCCCGTGCCACCCCAAGAAAGGACCTAAGTGTTCACCATATATGACCAGTGCCAGCTGTAGGTGACCCAACTGTCTCCCCCTGTGCTCTCCACACCTAGCCCTGCTTCTTGACCAGTAGGCCAAGAGTCTTCCAAAATGGGGAGACTTGCACAGCTGCAGACTCTAGATGAGGGATGGAAGCTGGTGTTCAGAGCAGTGGGTAGCGGGATAGCCCCAGGCTCCTTGCTGGTGGAGGGAAGCAGAGCTTGGTTGCATGTTCTGGCCTGAGAAGCAGGACTGAGCTCCAGTGTGATTACTTTTCCAGGTCGTGTCTTATGCAAAGTTCCTGTACCCTACTAATGCCCTGGTTACACACAAGAATGACAGCCATGGCTTGCTGCCCCAACCCCGGCCCAGCATCCCCCGGGCTCCACCAGGTTCAAGACACAAGCCTGTGCCTACCAAGTCAACACCAGCTGGCACAGAACTAGGTAGTCTAGGTGTCTTCACCATGGCACAGGGAGGCAGCCACACTGGCTGGGCTAGGGTTGGTAATGGGGCAGACAACAACATAAGCCACACCCGCACTGAGGCTTCTCAGAGGAAGAGGACTCCACAAAGTGTGGCCCTGGCTCTGCCAAGGAATGCATCGGTGTGGGTGGGGCGCTGTCCAGATGTCGCTTCTTGTGCCCAAGCCCTGACCCTTGACCCAAACGTGACACCTCTTCCTTAGGTGTGGGGGGAGAGGGGCAGCATGGGTTCTAATCAGGATGCTGAGGTCAACAGCTGCCTCTGCTTACAGGAAACGATGGCGGAGATGCGGTGGAATACAACCCCAACCTCCTGGATGACCCCCAGTGGCCGTGTGGGAAGCACAAGCGGGTACTTATCTTTGCTTCATACATGGTGAGTTCCACAGCCCTAGCATTGTTTACAGTTCAGGGAATAAACTGTTGAGTGGGCACCCCTCCACACCCAGAAGCCCAGAACAGCCATTACAGGGTACCTTGTCCCCATCCAGCACCAGCAGGTAGGGGGACAGGGCCATAGACAGGGACAGTGTGCCAAAGCAGACATGTTGGACAGTCTTCTGGGGTCAATTCTGGATGCCTGGGCCTGTACCTGCAGAGGACAAGCTGAGCCATTTTATCCTCAGAAATGCAGGTACCTCCTGAAGTCCCACATACTCATGTCTAGGCCGCAAGGCTCCACCTGCCTCTACCTCTGTTACAGACCACAGTTATAGAGTATGTGAAGCCTGCAGACCTCAAAAAGGACATGAATGAGACCTTCCGGGAGAAGTTCCCTCATATCAAACTGACATTGAGCAAAATTAGGAGGTAAGGAGGAGCCAGGCAGATGCCCCTACCCAGCCACATAACCTGGCCCTGGGCTTTCTCCTTGGAGAACATAGTGTCTTTCCTGACAGCCCACAACATGTGGTGTAGCCTTGGATGGGTGGCTGCTGCTTCGTCCTAGCCTCATGGCCATAGATTTGCCCCAGGGACATGGCTCCCATCCCACCCACAGTTTAAAACGGGAGATGCGGAACCTGTCCGAAGAGTGCAGCTTGGAGCCCGTGACCGTGTCCATGGCCTACGTGTACTTTGAGAAGCTTGTACTGCAGGGAAAGCTCAACAAACAGAACCGCAAACTGTGTGCTGGCGCCTGTGTTCTGCTGGCTGCCAAGATCAGCAGTGACCTCCGCAAGAGCGAAGTGAAGCAGCTTATTGACGTGAGTGCGGAGGTGTGCACACAGCACGAGCACCCTGGTGCCAGGCACTGACCATAGGCAGGGACCACAGATGGGGCTAACCCACTGACCCTCTGCTTCCTTCACTACAGAAGCTGGAAGAAAGATTCCGGTTCAACAGGAGAGATCTCATTGGATTTGAGTTCACGGTGCTCGTAGCTCTGGAACTGGCCCTGTACCTCCCTGAGAACCAAGTGTTACCTCACTATAGACGCCTCACCCAGCAGTTCTAGCCCGGAACAGTGTACCCACAAGAAGGCTGCTCGGTAGGAAGGCAACCAGTGTCCTGCCCCTCTTCCAGTGCTGCACCTGCCCCTCAGCCCAAGGTGACTTGCTTCCCTTGGAAAGAGACACAGCTTTCACTCCTAAGTGCACACCTCAAGGCACTTCGGAGAATTTTCCTGGACAAATGCGTGGAGCTTAGCTTGCTTGTCATGTCCCGGAGACCAGCCACAGTGTGGTGAATGCTGAGCTCCAGCCTTTGTTTTGCCTAGTCTCTGCATCCCTTCACAGCTGAGGCCATTCCTGTGGCGACTTAGGTGTTCAGAGCTGAACATGCTGGGGTTGCCAGCCAGGCTTACCTGGAAACGGCTTTGCTGACTGACGCTGACTCCTGGTACCCTGCCTCCATCTAAACAGAGCTCTCTTGCTGTCAAGGTAGAGGGGAGGGCAGATACCTTGACCCATTCTGTTCTGCTTACTCTTTGGACCTTGCCAAAGCTCTGTCACTGTGAAACCCTGTGCCATCACACATGTAGCAGGGCTTGCCTGAAACCACCCACACCTTCAGCCAGAAACTTCCCTGCAGCATTGGACCTTTTAAGACAACTGCAAACTTGAGGCTCTTGACTTTCCTAAGCAATACTGTGATTGAGAAAAGGTATAATAGTTTGGAATTTGATCTCCAAGGGAAAAGAAGCTGTTCTTGTAAAGTCTGCTGCATAACTCTGAAACCATACATGACCCTCAGGAAGGCACTGACCCGGCCAACTTGCCTGTGTATCCACAGTGCCACTGTCCCTCTGCTTTCCAGACTATTGGTCTTTGTACGAACTGGTCACCAGTCCTGCTAGCAGCTACCCAGCTCCACAGCCCCATTCCCCCCAGCAATGCCATGCCTCTCAGGCCTGACACCATCTAACCACCCAGGACCAAGAATAGCTCGAGCACGAGAGAGCATTGCAGCATTAATTAATCTTTAATTAATCAATCTTTTATCCTGACCACACTTATGGTGGTGCAAGCAAACCCATACCCTATAGAGCATCTTGGACACAAGATAATAGCCCTACAAAAAAATATCTTCAAGGTAGTCCCATTGTTTTGTTTAAAATGAACTTCCTAGACACTGCTCCAACTTACAGGCTACCCTTGGAGGACGTACCCAGGCAGCTTCTTCTAGATGTATAGTTTAATGTATTAAAGCTGGTAAACAGCATAACTTAACCTTGTATATTTATGTAGTAAGGTTTATTATTTACCAAGCGGGTCTGCTGGAGCCCTGACCTTCCAGTAATGCTAAGAGCTGCTGCAACAAAACCAATCCTTGAACCAAATGGCAGGCCAAATCCAGAACCCTGAGCTGTATCCAAGATGTCCAGCTGGACTGCGACCCAATCCACAGACCTGGTGCTGCACCCTTAGCACCCAACAGCAGGCCAAATGTTTGAGAGCATCTGACCTCAGAATGTTGTGTATGTCAGGTAGGTTTGGATTGAGTGTTTAAATGTTTTTGTTAAATTAAAACTTGGTTTTACAACAAACTCCTTAGTTTGTCTCCTTTCAGATGTGTGCTGCCCCTCTTCAGGTCATGATAAAAACACCAGCCCTACCCACATGTTAAAAGCAGTAAACTCAACTGGCAACAGTACTTTTTCTCACTTTTATTTATGACAGATTTCCCCCGATCTCTTCTGGTCAAAAATTCCTAACAAAGCAAGGAAAAAAAATAATCACATTAAAAGCCTAGCTCTTGGGAAATCCCAGGTCGCTCAACCCCAATATATCATCCCCACTTACTTGGAGACAATTCCATCAGCTTTAGCCAATCGGAGAATAGAATCATCTGACTCGCCCTAAAAATTAAAATTAAAAACCTGGGTATCCCCACAGGCCTCCCAGCTTGGCAGGACAGAGCATGCATGCACTATCGGACCCAAACCTGTACCCACGCCCAGGGGACAGAGAATGAGACAACTAAATCTTCCCAGAGCAGACCCTCCATGATCCGAGAGGCCTAAAAGAACAAGCCTGTCCCGCCAAGCGTTTCTTTCAAAGGGATACCACCATCCCAGCCCAACGTCCACGTGGTCAAACAAACTCACCATCCTGCGAATGGCGCCGCAGATAGCGTAGGTTTTAAACTGGCCATTAAACCGACCTGTGACCCTGTCAACCTGTGTAGAGTCAGAGTGGTTAGGAGATTTGACCCTACCCCACGCTTTAAGTCTAGCCTGGTTATTAGCAAACACCAACGCAAGCACCCAGGCACTGGGAGGCCTAGCTGCCTCCTTCCTTCCTTCCTTTCCCGGGTTCCCAGCTCACCTCGGCCACGTTCATCTGGATGGACGCGTGGTCCTTGGCACCAATGATGCGGTTGCTCGCGGAGCTGATGGGAGAAAACAGGGCGCGTGGTGGGCCGCGGAGAGGAAACGGGATTAAAAGTTGAGGAACGTGGGCGTAGTGGGGCCGCGCAAACAGATGGAAGAGCAAGGCCCTCGAGTACTCACCATTTCCGCGGCACGTACAGGTCCACGAACTCGCCGGCGTCGTTCTGCATGTCGATGTCCTGCCTGCAGAGTCACCGCGCGAGCCATGAGGTCGGCCGGGCCCGCACCCGAGACTGCGGCCCCAGGCAGACCCGCACCTGAGCGCCCCGCCCGCGACCTCCCCAGCCCGGCCCGCCCGCAGCCGCTCGGGCCCACAGCTCTCGCCCACAGCCCGCCGCGCCATCTACCTGTTCGCTAGGCCGCGGGAGCGCAGAAAGGAAGTGGCTAGTCCCCGGGCGGCACTATTGGGCTGAGGGGCGTGGCATTGGCGAATGCTTCCGGGTCACGCCGCTTGCTCGCTTTTTCTTCCACTTCCGGTACAAGGAAGCCCCGGCTCTTCCTGGGGTCCGGCTCCACCCAAGCCAAGGCGAGCGCCTCCCCTTCGGCCCCGCCCCTCCTGCTGCACCCGCCTTCGGCCCCGCCCCTTCATGCTGCACCCGCCTTCGGCCCCGCCCCTCCTGCTCCTCCCGCCGGCTTCCCCGCCCCGCCCCGGCCGGGAGGAGTACTGCGGGACGCTGGCTCGCGTGCTCCGGCTGCCCGCGAGGGTAGGCGTGGAGTCGGAGGAACGCCCCCGGGAAGCCTCCACCAGAGTCGCGGAGAGGAACAGCCGAGTCGGGTGTCCGCAGTGCTGGGAGCGCAGCTGCAGCGCCTCAGTCGGGACGGGAAATCCAGCCCTGAGGTCGGGTCAGATGTTCGTTCTCTTCAAGGATCCCCTCCCCAGCGCGAACTGTAAGTGCGTGCTCCGGTGCGGCTTCTCTACCTGGACTCCGGCCCTGTCCCCAGGCCCTGCCCCACTCCTGCTCCGGCCGCCACAGGATCATGAGTCTGGCCAGAGAGTGCCTTTTAATAGCAATACACTGTATACATAATAAATAAATAAATCTTTAAAAAAAAATTAAAAGAGGGCTGGAGAGATGGCTCAGAGGTTAAGAGCATTGACTGCTCTTCCAGAGATCCTGAGTTCAATTCCCAACACCTACATGATGGCTCACACCCATCTGTAGTGAGATCTGGTGCCCTCTTCTGGCAGGCAGACATATATGCAAAACTATATACATAGTAAATAAATCTTTTTTAAAAAGAAAGAAAATTCCCGGGCTTTGCCACGTTCCCGTAATTCGCAGTCAGCCCCCAAACCAGCCTGGACAGAAGACTAAGTCTGCACGGTTGACGACTTTCCTACGACTCCATTTCTTCACACGGGGATCCACTTGTCTCACACCTGTAGAACTGTGCGCTTAAGGTCTTCTGGGACTGGAACCTCGGGTGTACAAACCCAGTTTGATGACCTTGGGGAGAGCCCTCCTTCCCAGGATGTCAAGGGGTCTGGTGAAACCCAAGCTGCACTTTATCCTCCGCACTCCGCAAATCGTCACGTGGGCATTGTGTCTGCGGTTTCTACCAAAGCCCTGCCGTAGGCCACGAGGCGTGTGTGCAAGGGTGGTTTGTTTATGTTTCAGCTTTGAGATCTACAACTGATCTGGCTGCATCTGTGTGTGTTGACTTGAACCCTCAAGGCCTCCTTGGTGGCGTGACGTGAAGCAGCCAGAGTACCGGAGAGTGTGGTGTGGCCAAGGGGCAACTGCAGAAATCTGCAGTAGCAGTCCTGAAAAGGGCTTAGTGCACATAGCACTGGGCAGTGTTCAGAAAGGTCTAGCCTCCGGTAACAGCCCTAAACAATACCTAGGGCCACCTAACGTCATAAAAACAGGGCCTGCCGTGGGTGGTAGAGGTGCACACCTTTAATCCCAGCAGAGGCAGAGGCAGGCAGATATCTGAGTTCAAGGCCAGCCTGGTCTACAGGAGGTAGTTCCAGGACAGGCCCCAAAGCTACAGAGAAACCCTGTCTCGAAAAAACAAAAAATAAATAAATATATAAATATATAAAAAGGACCTGCAAGGATCAAAGTATTACCAAGTAACCCCACTTCACCCCCAAAAATGGAACACGAAGGCTGCATGAAAATTCACATTTTCTGGTATCCACTCAAAGACTGCCAGGTTCAACAGCTAGGGAATATGGCCACTAGTGAGAGAGCAGCCCATGGACTGGAAACTGATCCAGACCTGACTTAGGTTTTAAAATGAGCAGACGAGGTTGTGATAGGGGTTTTCACAGAAGGTATTCCATCTGCTCAAACCTTTGGAGGAAGTGGGACTTGACTACACATGCCTGCATCAGCACCCAGAGGGTGCTGGACAAGAGTGTCAAGAGTTTGATCCGAAAGTAAGACCCTATCTCAAACATCTAAAATAAAAATTAGTAGAAAAGGTGCCGGAGAGATGGCTGCCCTTCCAGAGGTCCTGAGTTCAATTCCCAGCAACCACATGGTGGCTCACAACCATCTATAATGAGATCTGGTGCCCTCTTCTGGCCTGCAGCGGTACATGCAGGCAGAACACTACATTATAAATAAATCTTTTTAAAAAATTAGTAGAAAAGCTCAAACTTTGTTTATTTTTTATTCAAAATTTCTGCCTCCTCCCCGCCTCCCTTTTTCCTCCCCCTCCCCCCACTCCCCACTAAAAGCTCAAACTTTTAATGGGAAAGAAAAGACTAATTAATAAGCTTCCTCAGCTAATTTCGGGGCGCTTTTCTTCCTGAGGAAGCCTAGGCCACATTTGGGCTACAGCTATCACTGCTTCTGGTACCTTGCCCAGCATCCACCCATACTGGGCTCTATCTGTGGCTCTCAGCACCTACCGGGTCCTCATCCACTGTGTCAGTGAGGTGGCTTGGGACCAGTGCTCTCACTTACCAGTGTAAACGCTGATCCGTTCTAGCCCGGCTGTTTTGTTTCCTGGTGTTGGACCCTAGTGTCCAATCACCGAGGAGGAGGAGTCGCCCCAAGAGACCATCTCTCATATCACAGCTGATGTAAAAGCATGAGGATTTTATTAATTCTGTCATGACAGGGTCTTCCAGCAGTCGGGAGGCTAGAAGACCCTGAATGTCTGGTACAGGCTATTTTTAAAGGGAAAAACCACAGAAGGAAGGGGTGTCTGGGGGTTGCTCTTTAACTATTATGATTAGCTTATTCAAAAAGGCTATTACCAATAATTGGCTGGAGAGTGGTTGCCAGATCAGATGAGGTAAAGGGAAATGTCTGAGGGTCACTTTGCCCCTTCCCAGGGACTAAGTCAAAACATCGTAACTGAGTCAACACCTAAGGGTTATCTTGCCCCTATTCAGGGAGATGGAAAGTTCCCAACATCTCAGTATGCGCACGCATAGCTATTCTGTCCTTGGTTCCCAGGGGAGGAGGGGAAGTACTGAGAGTTGTCAGAAATGACTTCAGAATTATCTTAAAGTTCTACACTGGTTATGTGATGTAAGGACCAGTAAACTTGCCCCAGCCTGGCCGAGAAAAGAGTCAAACAGCAGCATCCGGTGAGGACAAGGGCCCTGATATCAGAAGGCTGGGCATGGTGGTGCATGCCTTTAGCCCCAGCACTTGGGAGGCAGAGGCGGGTGGATCTCTGAGTTCAAGACCAGCCTGCTCTACATAGGTCTACATGGTGAGTCCCAGCAGGCCAAACAGGCCTACATCGTGAAACTCTGTCTCAGATAAATAAGTTCACAGGGTAGGAGGTAGTGCTGGGACGGACGAAGACGCTCAATCAGCAAAGTGCTGTCTGCACAAGCCCGAGACCTGAGTTCCCCTAGAATCTGGGTGTGGCGGCACACACCTGTAATCCAGGGCTAAGGAAGCAGGGCAAAGGCAGGAAAATCCCTGGGGCTTGCGGATCAGCTACTCCAGTGAATCAGCAAATTCCAGACTCAGCACGAGACCCTGTCTCAAAGAGTGGTTGGAATGTGACTGAGGCAGCCACCAACTTCAACCTCTGGCCCTCTCCTGCACGCGTGCACACACACACACACACACACACGGGCACCAGGGGTCAGCTCCAGGTGTTGTACCTTGGGTGCGATCCACCTTGTATTTGGAGACAGAGTCTTTGGTTAGTCTGGATTCAGCCAGTGAGCCCCAGGG